ATGCGGAACCAACGTCTGGACATCAGTCAGCGTCGTTGCATTTTCATGGCTTAAGAGCTCTAGGAAAAAGAGAGACTGCTTTATATGCATTTATCCATAGAACTTATATACTCTTCAGAACTGCTATTAGTATGCACAGGAAACGTGTGAAACACTCTTCTCAACAAAGCTGCCTTTGGAAGAGCTCCAGCACTCTATGACAATGCAATTTCTTCAAAAGAAAAACAGGCTTTATTACTGGCTATTCCTAAAATTTGATAAGAACAAGGAGAAGAGATACATGCTGTTAGCTTGCCAGATGTCAGCAGCTACTTCTGATCCATATTGATATGCAAGACTTAACGAAGACAAATGAATAACTACACTAGTATGATCCATCACACTAGCTGTCAAGAAACAGCCAGAATTCAGACTACAGACCATCAGCAACCATAGTTATTGATGACGGCAACCAAAGATCTTGGGTTAGTGGCCCCAACACATGCAGTCTTATGATAATTATTTTGAGTACCAATGCCAGGAATTGTTTCCCAACACTCTGTGGAGAACCCTGTGCTGTGCTGCCTGCAGGGCAATGAAATTCTCCCTCACAGTATTTAAATAAAGACAGTAACAGGGCCACTAACTGAAATTGCCTTTATCCCTGCATTTCAACACAAAAAGGATTCGTAAAGGAAATAAATTTGTAAAAGAGTTGTGAGTAGTGGTATTGTATTACACACTCCATATGGAAAAAAACAAGTTTCAAATTAAAGCAAAAGAACTTGACATTAGCCAAATAAAGAAATAAATCTAAAAAAATTAATTTTTGTAGCATTCTTGGGCTTGTACCTTAGGTTATCTTCTCAAAATATGATTTTACCAACGCATAAAAAGCTATGGACAGCTTAAGTTTTAACAGTAGCAGCTCAAGGGAAAGAAGTAACTCAGTTGTCTGTGACAAGGCACACAGAAATTACAGCACATCCCCCTCCCAGCTTAAAGGGCTCCTGTTCCCCTATGAAGAGAAAAAAAAGTGTTCCTACTAAAGTGACCATCAAAAAGTACTTAGTATTTAAGATTACAGTGTTCTGGCATTTCCATTTCAAAGTACACAGGGTGATTTTGTAAAAATGGAAAAGCAATAGCTGAAAAGTTTAACAGAACTAATCTCAGTGCCTATCTGCAGGCACATTCATCTTAATACAAGCTAACTATAGAAATCTGTTTGGCAAATGAATCAGAGGTGGCAATTTCACGTAACCTAGGTGATTCCAGAGCTCACCTACCAGCGCACAATGGGTATATCATACAAGCGAGCTAACCAAAACCACACCAACTCACTGACACAGACTTTGCTCTCTCAAACATTAGGTGAGTGGGATGTATGAATTGCCTTACCTTGGGACAGCAATTTCTCCAGTGCAGAAACAGACACCACATTTGCATTCTCATTTAGTTGTATTAAAAATTGCAGACTAGACCAGCTAGGTTTGATACCATCACCTGCTCTCAGGGGCTAACAGTTGGAAGAGATACCTTGTTAAAATCCTCACTCCACTTCTCTGGCTTACAATGTCTTATAAGTGTGTGAAAACACCACATTCAGGACAGAGAGCAGTGGGGTGAGAGAGCAGAGAGTAACCTTTTTGTGTGTGATATCCAGTGATTTAGATATCCAGTCTTAATGGAGTTATCTGTTAAGGTGCTTTTACGAAGATTGGAAAACACAGCTCTAGTAGAAGTCAGTCTAACCCACAGATAGGGGAGAAATGGCATCTCACCAATGCTGCACTCCCAAATTCCAGTCTCCCACATACTAAGGACAAGTGGCTGCACAAAGTTCCCTGAGTCAGAAATTTATTTTTACTTGGTATTTTTATACTGTAAATAATAAAAAGCTAGAATACATTTTTACTATTTTCCTTGCAAAAAGGTCCTTGGAAGCTGACTACATCTACAGAGGAAGATGGCATATATCAGCAGATCTTCCTATCAGTCAGCCACCCAAGGCAGTCTCAGACCCAAAAGGTGTGGTCAGTTTCCTGATTTTTGAAAGATCAACTTCCTTTAGCATGTTGTCTTATTCAAGCTGCTCAAGATGGTAAAAGGAACATTAGCAGTTCCCTCACAGCTTCTGCCTTATGAATGATTTTGTTCATTATCTATTGCTTGAAAAGAGGCATAAGAGAGGAAGACCCAAACACTAGGGAAAACATCCAGATAAATAGGGGAAGGCTTTTCCACCATCTAACCTCAATTGGACATGCAAGTCAAGTTATAAATCCTTCCTAATTTGTTTGCCTGTCGACAGGGCTAAAAAATCCTTTTAGAAAAATACTGCTTGCAAACTTCACATTATCGCCTGAAACAATAACAGAACAATAAGGTAGACAAAAATCCCGCAGTATCTGTGAGCCAAGCAACGAGCAGACCAACATTTCCAAAACTGGTCCTTTTGTTTAAGTTCTCAGCACTAAGTATAGGCATGCAAGAACCAGGGGCTTCATTAAGCCGAAGAAGTTGCCTAGGAGAAAGAGTAGACAGTAGATGAAAATACTAAGTTCCTGCCTCCGCCAATAACTCAGGAGTGTCTCAAAAGCTTCTTGCAAGTTTTCACATCTTGAAAGTTACAAAAGTGTCCAAAGCCCATTATTCAAAAGGATTTTCTTATTGATTCAAAATAGGTTGCTTTCCCTTCCTATTTGATTCTTAGTTATGTAACCTTGTAAGAGCCCGGTCTCATTTATTTCACTGTGTGTTAGCTAACAAAGTTTCAAGGTTTATTTGCAATATTCAAAATACCATACTTAAAAGGAAACAATGTTAACTGTCAGGTGAGGGAACAATTTATTCTTCCAAATCAGATCATGTAAGTTTCAATCTCATTCCCATTTTGTATTATACTACTTCAGAATGAGTTAAATTAAATTACTTATTAGTAATTAGAAGAAAATTCAGAAAAATTTAGAAATTAAAAGAAACTACATTTCTTCATTTATTTCTCTTATGGGGGGTACTGGCTTTGAGCAGAATGAATATTTGCTTTTCATCACTGACTACCCCGATTACTTGGATATCACTAAATTAGACTCCAAGGGCAGGATTAGAAACTGCAAGGTTTCCTTTAGAAATAACACTTCATGTTCTTGAACAAGTTAATAAAGCATGCTGCAGCTAAACAGGGAACTGAATACTAAAATTTATGTTTACCAGAACCAGGCTGGTTTACCTCTCTTTGGTGGTCTAACATGGTACGTGACATCATTAATGACCAGTTTGAAGTCATCCAGCAGAAGCAAATCTATGCCTGTGGAGGAGGCCACACGTGTGCCATCTGCAAGGCAAACACAGACAACTCATTAAACAGTAGAAACAAAGTACCTAAACGTGCTGTGGCTAAGTTATAATGCCATCCCAAATCCAGTTGTTGGACTTGGAAATTTTCCCCACAGACGATACTCTTTGTCAAGACGGATATATATACTGGGAGACCTTACATGGCAAATACTAGCTGAGCTACATATGCAACTGCTTTTCTAAATTTGTGATATTTGGGGTCATCTTATAAAAAGCAGTTCCCTTCATCCCGCACGCTTTGAATCCTTTACTATGTTTTGCTATACAATCCACTTAAGTGACCTTCATTTCTCGCCACTGGCATTAGAAATTATTTCAATCTCTGGTATTGGATAGCTTTGACATCGCTAACCTAGCAAACACCTCCCCCCCAGGCCAAGACTTTTAAGGAAATATCTGCTTTGACAGCACTTTCATAAGACATCCTCATGATGTTTCAGAGCTTTGGTGGCTAGCAGATACATAGCAAATGAGCAAAACACGACATTAAGTGAAATATGACTGAGTTTTCATAGCTAAGCAAGACACTGTTTCCCTTGTACCACCTTTTATACCCAGTTCCTTACAAATCGATTAAAACCTTTACATAGGTTGCATAGCTTGCATCTTTCATACTACATAGTAGGAAACTCACCAAAAACATAGACATTAGTCCTAATGGAAGTAAGCTAAGCATTAGCAATGTTTTCCTCCTCCTTCACTCTACGGTCAAGATTTTCTTGGCTAGACCTGACTACACAGGGACAGCTAACAGTATTCCTGCTCTAGGAATGGCATTTCTACCTTCTATTTTTTCAGGAATGTCCAAGAACTCACACCGTAACAAGCTTTTACTTCAAAAGCAAAAGGCTGGATGAAAATAGCTGGCAAGCAAGTAAATCAATTAGTTTGTAAAACAGCAGTACCTGCCGAGTAGATTGCAACCCGATCAATTCCTCGGTCCTCTGCTTGCAGCTGTTGTAAGAACACACCAACACAGTCTGAAATAGGTTTAAGTGTGAACTGGCAACGTTCACGCCGGGATGGAAGATTCACAGAAATCACAGGTAACCCATTTTGGTAAACGACCGTCACTTCTACAAAGACGACAAAAATACAAGTTTATCATTTAAAATTAACAGATCTTCTCATAATAGTTCTGTAGTTGTCCCATGGAGAAAAAGGCAAACATGGTTGTGAGCTGAACATGAAAGAGACTTGAAATTTTTGGTTCATCTTTTATCAAGAGATGTGTCCATCAAAGAAAAACTGAGGTATGTCAGAGGTTTTCACTCCCATTAACCTGGTGGTATCTGTTAAACTTTCTGTGCTTTGTGGAAAAGTAGAAGACACTTACACTGAGCACAATCACATTTATACTAAAGGCAACACGATAACTAAAAGCCACAACATGGCAGCACAGCATGTTTTGATTAGTTTTTGAGAACCAAAGTATTTTGGACTACGGAAGACAAAACACTGCAATTTATCAGGATTTATAGCCCAGAAGACAAAGGCAGACCATCAAGGAAGGACCTACTTCAAACCTTTTTATTCTTGTTTAGTTCTGGTTTCCTCCTCTTTGTCCTAAGGCAACAAATATTTAAGAGAGCAGTCAGGAGTATGAGGTTGTAGGAATCATGCTCTAAATTTAAGCTTCAAGGTCATTTTATCTAAAATTCATGGGATCAATATACTTTTGTACTTCAGAAGATGGACATTAATTCTTAGGTGTAGATAAAACAACACTGTCCATTTCTTTAGTGCTGTCAGGAGCTTTTTCAAGAGCATTCTTAGAGATTTCAGTGCACCCTTCTAAAATTTATGGTCATGACCTGTATGAACTGTAAGCTAGTTATTATTTTACTGCCAGAAAGAAAGCCCACTCTGTGTCCTTCAGGATATCCATACATAGGAAAAAAAAAAAAAGAAGTTAAGAGTTCATATTCCCTAAGCCCTCTACTGAGTCACAAACATTCAAAATTTTCCCCCGGTGCAGTAGTTGCTAAGATATAGCAGCACACCTAAAAATTATTCACTTCAGATTGCTACATATTTTTCTTATGTAAAAATGTAAGGTCATTTTTATTGCACAGAGCATTTGCCATGTCTCAAGGATTGTGCAGTCGCACCCACCCACACTGCATCTGGCTTAGTATTCCCACCTGTTGTAGCTTTGGCCAACTACATGAACCACACCATCTACTTAAACTCATCTAACTCATGTATTGACAAACCAAGTCAATTTAAGCAGCTAACATCAAAACTAGTTGGTCAGAGAAGTTAACGCAAATACAAATAGAAGCAAATAATGTCATTTTAACTATCAAATGAAACTATTTCTCAGCATGCCACTGTTCAAAAATTTTTGCCACCAACAGCCTTTATACCTCTCCTTTCAGTGATTTGCTGCCAGACGATGAACTCGTTTATTACAGGATAGTTTGCACATTAGGACAAGTCTTGGGGCAACATGCCTTTCCAAAAGGGAGGCTCATGGATGTTGAGAAAGGATGCACCAAGTACACTTCTACAAAGCCAGAAGAGTTCTCTCAGGGTTTTGAGTTTACTGTCACGTGCCTTCATGAATTGAATCAAACGTACAAAAGATCGTTCCCTCTTCCAGGGGATTGCTATCCAGTGCTGACAAAGAGGTCCTATTGTCATCGTTAAAGACTAGGTGGAAGTGACCAAGTATGGACATCTAAAATGACTAAAGCATCCCAAGAGGCCACAGTATTTGGAAGCCTATAAATGCCTATTCTCAAGACTCAGACACCTGACAGGATTTTAGTAGCTTTAGTGTTTCGAAGATTAAAACTCAGAGACAACAGTCAGATATTTACTGAAATAAAGCAAACCGCCAATTTATTTGGACAGTTAGACAGAATTTCAAACTCCTTATCAGTAGCTGTTATGACACCAGCCATCAGATTTTTGCATTCTTTCACTCAAGTATTTGAGCAAGAGACTGGTAAGAAATAGATTAGCATTAGCTACACTTGTGATAGCAGGCTCAAAAGGAATGATCAACATGTTTAGAAGCTTAAAATAGCCACTTAAGTATAGAATTCATTGGTTCTGTGAGCAGCATATACAACGTTAATTTATGTACTGCTTACATAACCACAAAACATGAAAAACATTCTTTATTTAAAACACTGCCTTCATTATACAGGCAGCGAGCCAGTTTATTGTAGAGCAAAACAGATAATGTTTGCACCAATGCTTTTCCATGTATCCCCAGTGGTACAACACAACAATCACAGCTCCATGACTGCCAGCTTTGGAGGAAGTGCCTACCTGCACCAGCCCTGCCACATTTTAACCCTCCACAGACCAGATAGAGACCACCATGATAAACGCAATAGGCCAGACTGCACCAAGAGTCATCAGCATTGATAGCTCACACAAAACCTCTCTCAAGGATTTCCAACTTAGGTCAAGTGTTAAAGACCAAATTATTTCTTTCAGAGGACAGGCTCAGTAAGTCTGGAATTACAGCTGGTTTGTGTTTTCCTTACAAAAAGCTTGTAAAAGTAATTTTCTAGCCTAATTCACTGGTGGGGAAAGTCCGTAATTCCAGTCTGATCCTCTCATCACCTCCCACACAAGTAATGTTTGGTCAGATTTTTACTGCATTGGAGAGAGAAGAGCTCAGAGGAAAATAAAAAAAAAGAAAAAATCCAAAGGACATGTCACTAACACAAACCTAACAGACAGCAACAGACAGCTCCAGTGAGAGTTATTAACAAGACTCTGATATGGTTGTCTGCCTTGCTCTCCTCTCTGCTCTGACAGCCCTGTGGACTGCCTGCATGAGGGCAACTACAAGTTACTAAGTGGACAAAGCATTATGGCATTTCACTAATTATAGAGCTAATATTTTGGCTAATCTTCACTGATTAAATTTTAAGCCAGTATTTAAATATATGGGACAAGTAAAAGAAAGTAATTGTATACAAGTGTATTTCACTTACATTTACAGACGCCTACAACCTGGCCAGGGATGCTGCTAAATAAGACCAGGGAGAATTTTAAAGGCTTTACACACTATATTAAGCATGAGGCTGCTTTGAGGTAGGAATTCCATCCAAGCACCACAAAGTTTTGACTCAACCATATGTGCGCCAGTAACAAGTCATTACTATTTTTTAAAGATAAGAACAACTTAAGCAATACATTAGGCCAAAACAAGGTACAGTAAAAAAGGGTGTGGCCAAAGAAGTCAGTGTTCAACATTTACTACTGGTAAAGGTGAAGTTATTGGAAGAAATAACAAGAGAACTATTCAAGCACAATATGAGGAGAGGTAAAATCAAATTGGGCAAGCAGCTACACACTTACATTATCCTCTCAACCTCACGTCCTCTACACTTCTACCTATTTAAGCCTTCAGGTTTTTATTCCAAGTTCTACACACCAGTCATGTTCTCTTTGTGTTTGCACACACTCACTATATCCTGGCAGGGGAAGTAATTGTGCTGTAAGCCTTTACTTTATTAGCTTTCAGGCTTTATTAACAAGCCTTAATGGGGAGAGGATCCACTAACCACTTGTGTCAGTCAGCATAAGTGCTCTAGTCTTTGTGCACAGCATGCAGACATTAAGCAGGCAGTGATCTCAAAGCTGCTTGTTTCCTCTTTGCATTCTGGCATACTGAAGTTTTTAAAGTTCCACTAGTGCATTCTTTTGCTTTATGGTATGACAACCTTATCAAAAAAGCTTAGTGTCTGAGCTGCCCCAGAATTTAAATAAAGGAACAAAATTGCCTTGGCTTCACAACTTATTCACTGCAACAGTGCTTTCAACCGTTTGAGCAAGTAGCTGGTATGAGCTGCACTTTCATTACATAAATAAAGTTAACAGGGCACACAGTACCCTGAAAGGTAGGCATCACACAGGCCTCACGGCTACATCAGGAATAAGTCTGGCAAAAAAATTTGGACAGTTGCACACAATTACATCTTTCTTTATAAAGCCTGTCCAGTTTTGTAAGGACAGTTATTAGAAAAGATGACCATTTCCTTAATTCTTCTTGACTAACTTCATTCTCTGTCACTTCCTTAGTTCAAAACTGGATTACCTCCTAGCCAAAAATGCCTCAACAAGAAAAGGGGGTCAGGGAACATGATTTAAGTTAGTGAAGTCAAAAGTGAGCCAAGAGTTTCTCCATGTCAATACTCACCATCAGAGGGCACTACTGTACTGCAATAGACCACTCTCTCACTCTGCCAAGGAGAAAGCCTCTGATGCACCTGGAAAATACAAGCACAGCAAAAAGGACAAGTGTTGAGTGCCGCTCGTCCGTCAGAATCACGCCCCGGTGCCACCTCCTGTCCCCCCTCCCGCCATCACCTACCCCAACGCCTGCGCTAGGCATTTCCTCCTATCCGCTGCAGGGGTAACCACAAACCAGGAGCGCCTGTCAAGAACAGCCTCTTCTCTTACCATCTGTCACCCAGCAGGGTTTCCCCCCTCAGCCAAGTTCACCTCTACACACCTCACTCAACACACATAGTTTAAAGTGAGAATGGATAACAGAACAGCTGTGATTTTTTTTCTTCCTTAATGTAAAAAGTATTTTTAAAGCCACACTGAGTTAATCAATTTTAAGAAATCAATTTAGACTACTACGCAGACATGGAAAGTAGAAATCACACAACAACATCAGTCTTTAAATGTTAAAAAAAAAGTTTTAGCATAACAGCAGGGGAGGGTTAGGGAGCTGTGGATTAAGAGGCTCATTCTCTTAGGTTGTTTTCTGTGCCGACATGTATTTTTTTCTTGTCCTTACAGAGGGAAGCCAAACTCTAAGAGATACAAGTAGTAAACATGCCTGTTCATAGAAGAAAAAATTGTTCAAGATACAAAACAAAAATCGTTATATTGAGCTATAAAAAAAGAGCCCAATAAGAAGAAAGCACATGAATGGTTCATATGTTCTGCAACCTTGGCAAGGGACTGATTTGTTCATGAAAATCTAGAATCAGACTGATTTAGAGTCTGCCTTCTAGGATAAGTTACATTAATTACGTACTAACTCTCCCCCAACAATGAAATTACAATTATGGCACAAGAGAGCCCAATTTTAAAAAAGAATAAGGCACAACACCAGCTCTCATCTGTCTATGCTGTTACATATATCAGTGACTAGCACTCAGATTTTTTTCAATAGTTGCAGTCTAATATGGGCATTCCTATGGTCTGGGATTTTTTTGTTTGCTGATTTTTAAAATAAAGCTGCCGAACCTGCATTTCTATAAAGGTATCTCACAGGTAGGGCTTTTTTTTTTTTCTAAAGTAAATTTCTAATGGAAGTTTGCAAACAAAACCCAGGCTGTTGATTATTTTTCTGCCAAGTTGTCCAGACCTTCATATTTTGTGAGGTTGCTTTCAATAATCTACTTAAAATAGCTTTATCTGCTACTTCACTTTTCTTCTGAAGCCTGCTATGCAAATCGAGGATAGTTTCAACTACACTAGTCTTGAAAGCAGGATCTATGGCCCAGGTGGTCAGTGCATTGACAGCTCTGGAAATTCACTCTCATTTGTGCTGTATTTACACTCCATTTTTCTCAGTCTTGACAATGAAAATCAGTCAAGTCATTTTCCATTTTCCTCATTGCAATTGCATTTCCAGCTTCCCACAGTCAAGTCAAACAGGCAGCTAACAGGAAAAGAGAACTGGGCGTTAAACAGCTGTAACTGAACTTAAGTGGGAAGTTGCATGTTTTGGCAAAAGTGATGTTTAAAAAAACCCTACATGTTGGGAACCAGAGAACAAATTTGCCTTTTTACATTTGAAAAATAGCAAGTCTTCTGGACTGACAAACACCCATGTGCTACTGCTGAGCAACCAGTAACTCCCCCCATCAAAAGAAAAAACAGGTTTAAAAACTCAAAAACACCCAAGGAAAACAGAGATACAGTCTCACATCCCGGACAAGTCAAGCTTCGCTGTCTTGGCTCCGTTATTATATTATGAAAAAAGTCAGAAGCTTCAATGATCACAAGCCATACCATATGTAAGCCAGTTTTCAGAAGCAAATTTTACCTAAGGAGGGGAAGCCTCTCTAGGAAGTTTAAAAAAAGACATTTTTCTATTTGAAACACCAACTTTAATTTTAATCCTTCTAAAAATAGTATCAGACCAGATAAAATAGTAAGTGGGCAGAACATAACGTATAAAACAGTGAGGCACAAAACCTTCTGTCAGAAAAAACTACCACAAAGCACTGTTTATATACTTATTTTACCCAATCCCATGGCAGAGCTGGCACTTTCAGAAACATGCTTTTCATCGCTTTACTCTTCCCTTTTACGTGGCATTAATTATCTATTTTTGAAATACTGCATATCAAGAGCCTGCCTTCCTACCAGATTTGCACGGCAGCCCAAAAATTTAGTAGCAGTTTTCAGAAAATCCTAACGCCCACTAAACCCGGCGTTATTCCATTGCAGAATAACTACATAACTGAAAGATGTTATCAGCTAGAATCTGAAAAGACCTTACCTTAAGGCCATGAGCATTTGACAGGTGTAAGGTAGCTCCAGAAGTCTCCTGCCCTCATACAGTACAGGCAAGAACAGGGGAAAAGGAAAAACAGACTGAAAAACAGGGCATGTTAGGTGACTCAAAAAGCTGAGGTGTCCCCAGATTTAACCTCTTAGACAATCCTTTCACCCTGGTTCAGGTCTGAACCAACTCTGTGTTTCTTTAACCCCACAGCAGTATGCTGCCATTATGTTTTACAGAAAGAGATGCTGATTAAACTATACATATCTGTCACTCCTGCAGTTCTGAACTGCGCCTTGCATGCTGCTGTTAGAAATTTCTTATAAGAAAACAGTCTCTACTGGTTAGGAAAAGAAAAAAAGGAACAAATTAACTCAAAGTCAGCAGAGACCTAAATGCCATCCAAGGTTAGTGAGAGCTTAAGGAATTGTCAATCATTTTTATTCTTGAAGGGTAATTGTTTTAAAGTTGAGATGGAGTGAAACGTCTGAACCCTTTATCCAACGTCTGTAATTCAACAGCTTCATGCAGAAATGTGCCAGAAGGCTGAGGCTCGGGACTGAAGCAGTTGCAGACCGGCAGAGAGGAATTTGTTTCAAGCTTTGCTGACCAGATCTCACGACTGTTTGCCTGCAGATAAACAGTCAACAGCTCACCACTTCAGCATCAAAGCATAGAATAACTACATCTAGGTTTCAATTGAGACAGACTTGTCCACCACTTGCAAAATAAGCGGTATTTGGAGTGTGAAAAGCACCGAAGCCAGACCACTGAAATCAGCAGCTTTCAGCACTAGAATAACTTTCTGGGTCTCAAGAGAACAGAAGCAGGAATTCACTTTTCACATCTATTCGATCCTTCGTTTCCTGTCTTATCTGCAGTAAGATGCATGTTAAGAGACTCAGGGTTACGCAGCAGCTTTGCTCCCAGAATGATTAAGGGAGCAAGAGAAAAGAAGTCCCACTCCTTTGGCTAAAACAAACACTTCCTCCAGCCTTATGAAGGTCTACGTTGGACAATCCAAAGGTAAAAATAACAGCATCTCTATAGGTCCTAAGGTAGCTATCTCAGTTCTACATGGGTGACAAAGTTAATCAAAGCCCTACTGGAAAAAACAGCCTTTTATCTACCAGCGAGTGCTCTCTGATGGGAAAAGAGGGAGCAATCTGGTAGAGCTCATGTTCTGCACTTTATGTAATTATCAATGATAGAATGGTAACAACTTCGGGGTACAAAGTCTCCAAACCCTAATTAAAATCAGAAAAGAAATTGTCCAGAAAAAAACACCCCAAGCATGGAAAAAGTGAGTATCTTGATCTAGAACACAAGTAAAACATGCTGCTAACTCATTACCTGGAGTACCAGCGCAGCAAAAGCTGCAGAGCTTTTGTGAAAGACAGCATTCTTCCGTGTAAAAATTTCTTACCATGTAAGAGATACATTTGCAAGGGCCAGCTGCAACATCTATTTTACAATTTATGAAGTGCCTCCTTTAAATGAGGCTGCCTTAAGTCAGACACAAAGCAGCTCACCTTTTCCAACAAGCAACAGCTATTTTCCTCTCTATCCCGACTTTCACAGCATGAAAAACTGAATGTCTTCCCTGGCTCTAACAGTGGTTATCCTAAAACCTCCTGGCTAGCATCTCAGTGACAAAAATCACAGTAACCCAAGCCACCACCTCAAAACTGCTGAAGAGCTCCATTTATTGATCTTACCCTCACTTCAGGGCTCCAACTACTTCTACTCCTGCACTCAAGTCTGTTACATTTTGATCTCTCTGAAACAGCACTTTCATTGTAAGCCATTGGGTCCCGTTTTGTCTTCCCATTTTGCTTACCCCTCACACCAGTTGTGTTTGCAAAGCAGAGGAGACACTGAGCAAAACCATGTTCTGACCAGAAATCTTCTGTCCAAACTCCATGATAAGTAACTTATCAAAACCACTAGTATTTTTGTGCTGGTACATAACCTCCTACTGGATTTAAGCACATACAACTGTGGTGGGTTGACCGTGGCCAGCTGCCCACCCAGCCGCTCTCTCATCCTCCTCCTCAACAGGATGTCCGGGAAGGGTGAGAAACACAATGAAAAAGCTCAAGGGTCAGGGTAAAGGCAGGGAGATCACTCACCAATCACTGTCACAGGTATTACAGACTGGACTTGGGGAATGTTGATTTATTGCCAACTAAAGTAGATAACAGTGAGAGACAGAAATTAACACACCTTCTCACCCCACCTCACACCTTTTTCCACAACCCACTTTACCCCTTATAGAATCATAGAATCATTAAAGGTTGGAAGAGACCTCCAAGATCATCGAGTCCAACCATCAACCCAACAACACCATGCCCACTAAACCATGTCCCTAAGCGCCTCAGGACCCTTCATTCCAAATTCTTCATCCCCTCAAGAGGCATGGGGAAATTGAGGTTCCTTCTGGAAACATCCGTGCCACAGCCCATGGAGAGCCCCATGCCGGAGCAGTGTGGATACTTGCCCAACGATGGCCTCCCCACAGGTGGAAGGGGAGTATCTGCCCCAGTGCCTGGAGCACCTCCTCCTTCTTCGTGCTCACAGGGCTGTTCCTCACTTACTTTCTCATTCCTCTCCTTTTTCCAGCATTTTCCCCCCTTTCTTACCTCAGTTTCCCTGTGGCACCATCACTGAGGGCTGAGGGGCTGGGCTGTGCCTCACCAGGGACCACCATAACCTGCTGGAAACAGCCTGAGGCAGCCC